AAAGAGGGAAGAAGTAGATCGGGGGGGGGGGGGGGGGCAAAAGGACTTGCCTCCCAGGCTGTTGCCCCCCCCCCCCCCCAATCAAAAAATAAAAGAGAAGCAAGGAAAGGGAAAGAAAAAAAGAAATGAGGAGATACAAGAAAGGAAAAAAGAGGAAGAAGAAAAGAAAAAAAGGGGATAACCACACAACAAATCGTCTTCTTTCTCTAATGATTTAATGAAACGTAAGCTTCCGCTTAGCGCGGGAGGAAGAAAACTCAATTCAGACGAGGATTATTTTTTGGGAACGGTACAGCAAATCGTCTTCTTTCTCTAATAATTTATTGAAATGTCAAAGCTTCCGCGTTTCGCGGAGGAGGGAGGGGGAAATCGCCCCTCCCTGCACCCACCCACCCACCCCCAATTACGTCACTGCTGGTCACCATTACGAACCAATATTTGGCTCGCATAATTTCAAATTTTGCCCCCCCCCCCTAAGAAATCCTGGATCCGCGCCTGATGTATATATACAGCGGCAACAGTTTTAATATAAAATGTAAGTTCTTCTTACTTAAATTATTGGTCTGGAAACAATTATTTGCCCATTGTTGTGTATTGTATTACATTTTCACTGACAATGAATTCACATTGTAATGCAATTTTCAAGTTTCCCAGGCCTATTTAGGAGAACAGAAGATTGATATTGTTTAGTTGTACGATAACATCACTCAGTTTGATTTGATTTGATTGGAGATATATCTCATTAAAAACAGAGTAAATGCTATACAGTTTCAAACAAACCTACACCATTAAACTTCAAGCTCACTCACACATGATTTATTGCGACACTTTCAAGGCTACTTATTATTTCAAGTTCATGTATATACAAAGGGCAACAGCTTCAATATTAAACGTAATTAAATAAATGTTGTGGAAAATGTTAATGCCCATTGTTGTATATTATACAACATTTTCCATAACGATGAATATACATTGTATGATGCAATTTTCAGGAAAACCATACTTGTCATTACTGTTATATTTGTTATATGATACTAAAGCAAATCGTTTCGCTTATCGATAAGATAAATCAATGTGAAGTACGTGTCAAATAATGAAATCATTACGTGCTATTTTTAACCAGACTAGACATTTGAAACGTATAAAAAATGTATACACTATTGACAGCAAGCAAGTTTTTTAAACAAAGAATTCAGAAATTGAACAACATTGCACATTTTAGTCTACACGATATGCTCTACACCCTTAGTTGGACTGTAAACAGTTGTCTTCTTAAGTCTTCCATATAAATATAAATTTAAAGGAGGTCAATAATCATTACGAAAACACTACTTTCATAAGGTTGACACATCAATATATATTGTGCACACATGTAACAATGTGATAATATTTTTTCTGGGGGGGGGGGGGGGCGGGAGGAGGGCAATCCAAAAAGGGACTGATATGTGAACATTAATATTGATAGGTCGCTTCACAAAAGGGGCATACATAGTCCTTTTTTGTGGATAGTTTTTTGAGCAAAACACAAAATAGGTGGAAGGACGTGGTACACGTCTTTCTTCAATTTTCTGAGGGGGATCGTCCCCCATGGATAATTTGAAAAAGTGCACACCAACAAAATGTATAGCAAATACTGACTAAAGACTGCAACACGCTTTAAGGCTCTGGTGGGCCCAAGAGTACAGCGTTTAGACTAATAGAAATGCTAAAATCTTCTCGCTCGGTCGCTACGCTCCTTCGCATAATATCCTAAAAATATACAAGTAAATATTGAAGAAAATATGTATTCTGTTGGTATCACGTATGTTCAAATTACACTGTATGTTAACAAGATTAAAAGTTATAGAAATAGATCAGTGTTCCAAAAATGAATATTCAGCTTGCTCTTTTAAGAAGTCCCTTCTTGCTCAGTCAAACTAGAATTTACCTAGTAAATATTTACAACCCTTCGGACTGCACACTAGATATCGGCAAAGTAAAAGTGAAGCGTGAAAAAAGTATATTGCTTGTTTTTATGCTGTAGTTTTGCTAAAGAATGTAATTTTGTAACACAACAAAACTTCAAAAACCTGTGAGGGGTTTACATATAAGACTTATCATACAGCTTTATGGGGGTAGTCCCTTCCGTCACCTCCGCCTCTTTCACTGGCGTACTGATGGGGGGGGGGGCAGTAACCCCCCCCCCCCAATACAATTTAAACATGGGTTATTTTTAATTTGATACCAGTGATTTACAAGTATTGCTAAAATGGCAGTATTTTTCCATGAGCTCCCGGGGGCTCTACCCCCTGGAACCCACCAAGGGCCCTAAGGCGGGCCCTGTTTGCTCATCTGGCCGTAATTAAATGCCTAAAGTCCTTGAGCTTTCGGGGGCTCTGCCCTTTGGACCCAACCAAGGGGCCTACGGCGGGTCCCTAGATGCGTAATTTGGTGCCTAAAAGCCCTTCCGTTATGTATTTCTTATGTATTTCTTTATCTTTCTTTCTCCATATCCTCTGCACTCTCCTTATGTATTTTTTTGTTTTCCCTTTTCTATTACCTTCTCTTCCCTGGGTATACGTGCTTGCACATGAACTATATATGGCTAAACAGTTTTGTAAAAAAAAATATGCGCGAACGGTCAAGGAGTAAGAAGAAGGCAAAAAGAGAACAAAGACGGCATCCATGGAAGCCATGTGAGAGTGTCCACTTTTTTCGCTTTTACTTTCACCCTTGCATTCTTTCCTGAATCAGAGTTTTCTCACACCTTGTAGACTCGTGCAGGTTATGATCTTGTTTGTGTGTGTGTGTGTGTGTGTGTGTGTGTGCGTGTGTGTGGGTGTGTTCGTGTAACGAAATAACGTATACAATAGCTTGGCAATTCTCATGGTTATGAGATACAATGTGAAAGGAATTGAGAGAATAATGGTCGCGTAGCTTAAATCAAAGTTCCCCATTGCAGTCCTCTCTTTTTGGATATTTTTGCATTTTGTTTTTGTAAGAGGTGTAGCGCCAGAAGAAAGAAGAGGAAGAAGAAAAGAAACGGGTGAAGAAGGAGATCGGGGGGGGGGGGGCGAAAGGGCCTTGCCTCCCAGGCTGTTGCACCCCCCCCCCCCCCCCCCTCTAATAAAAAAAAAAGAGAAAAGGAAGGAAAGGGAAAGGGTAAGAGGAGATAAAGGGAAGGAAAAAGAAGAAAAGAAAAGAAAGGGGATATCATTTGCAATTTTCCCCGGTGGATCGAGGAGGGGCAAAAGGCCCTTACCTCCCCCGCCCCCGCTATAACAAAGAGAGAAAGAAGAAAAAGGGAAAGAGGAGAGCTAAAAGGGAACAAAAAAGAGGAAGAAGAAAAGAACGTGAGATCAGTTCCGGTTAATCCCGCCAACAACGTGTGGATCGGGGTGGGGACCGAAAGGCCCTTGCCCCCCACCCCCCCCCCCCCCTCGGCAAACCTTAAGGAGGAGAGAAAGGGAAAGAATAAAAAAGAGAAAGAAGAAAAGGGGGGCACTGGCGTACTGATAGGGGGGGCTTGGGGGAATTCAAATTCAAACGTGGTTAATTTCTAATTCCATAACGGTGGCTTTCCGAGATTTTTCCTCAGTTTTTAGTAAATTATACTTTTGTATGCGTTTGTTGGAAAATGACAAGTTCCTAAATTTACAGCCAGGCAAGAAATATGATTCTTGAGAAAAGTTAGGGCCCGGGGATCGGCTGGAATCGCAAGCCTCGAGCTCCCCCCCCCCCCCCCCCCCCCCCCCCCCCCCTCCCCTCCACTTTTTTTTTAAAAGGTATAGTAAAGAGAAATAGAAATAAAGAGAGAAAGAATAGTTAACTAGCTGCTCATCTGACCGAAATTAAACGCCTAAAAACCCCTGAGCTTCCGGGGTTCCGTCCCTTGCACCCCGCCTAGGGCCCTAGACTCCCCTGGATGCTAATCTGACGGAAATGTAATGCCTAAAACCCCTGTTTTCTGGGGGCTTCGCCCGCTGGACCTCACGCCAATTAGCGTCCTGCCAGTGTCACAAATAAGGTATAAAAATATGTTCATCTGACCGTAATCAAATGCCTAAAACCCCTGAGCTTCTCGGGTCGGACAAGGTATCAAAATTTGTTTATCTGACCGCAGGCGCGTAGCCAGGGGGGGGGGGTAGAAAAAAATAGAGAGGAGAGGAAAGGAAGAGGACGTAGGGAGAAAAAGTAGCAGACAAAAAACATCTTTGAAATTCAGACAAGAATTAAGAGTATAGAGAACGGTACAACGATTCGTCTTCTATCTCTAATAATTTAATGAATCGTCAAAGCGTCCGCGCTTCGCGGAGGGGGGGGGGACTGAATTAAGACAAGGATTAAGAGTATAGAGAACGGTACAACGAATCGTCTTCTATCTTTAATAATTTAATGAAACGTCAAAGCTTCCGCGCTTCGCGGAGGGGGGGGGTTGAATTAAGACAAGGATTAAGAGTCGAGAACGATTCAACGAATCGCTTTCTTTCTCCAATGATTTAATGAAACGTAAAAGCTTCCGCGCTTCGCGCGAGACGGGGGGGGGGGGGGGGAGGGGGGCTGAATTAAGACAAGGATTAAGAGTCGAGAACGGTACAACGAATCGTTTTCTTTCGTCAATGATTTAATGAAACGTAAAAGTTTCCGCGCTTCACGCGGGAGGGGAAAATTGCATTCAAACGAGGATAATTTTCGAGAACGCTATAACGAATCGTCTTCTTTCAATAATAGTTTAATGAAACGTCAAAGCTTCCGCGCTGCGCGGAGGGGGGGTGAATTAAGAGAAGGATTAAGAGTCGAGAACGGTACAACGACTTGTCTTCTTTCTCTAATACTTTAATGAAACGTCATATATAGCTTCCGCGCTTTGCAGAGGAGGGAGGGGGGAAACTCACCCCTCCCTACATCCCCCTGCATTACGTCACTGCTGGTCACCATTACGTACCAATATTTGGCTCGCATAATTTCAAATTTGGGCCCCCCCCCCCCCTAAGAAATCCTGGATCCGCGCCTGGTGGAAGATGACGACGACGAGGAGGAGGGAGAACCATCAAGACGGCAGTTTGACGGCGATGAAACTAAGAAAGGAGAAGCAGTCCTATGACTTTGATGCCACCACAGAGCAAAACCTTGTTGACTTCTTCGGTTAACATGACTGCTTTTATAATAAAGGAAGTAACAGATATGCTAACAGCAAGTTCAAGAAACATTTTATGGAGTTGCAGTTGCAGTTGTAGTCTTCTTGGTAATACTGTCATCGTGTAATATCAAACTTTCAACAGTCATAGAATTTTCGATAGTATACGGCAGCGTTTTTTTTGCAACCCGACCAAATAGGTTTTTTTTTGTAAGATCTTCTTACGAATGACTTGTGAATGCCGTGAGTTAAACGTACGAACACCTTGCGAGAACAAAACTCATAAGATTGGCGTAAGTCTGACGTAAGAAGAACACAAGGCGTTCTTACGAAAAACGTACGAACTCTGGGGCCATTGTATAACCGAAAATCACTTCGTTTCTCAAGAAGGTCTTGAGTTGTTCTCGCGAATTAAACGGCGTTCGTACGAACTCCGTAAGAAGGACGTAAGAAACTATGCACCATCTGCGAATCTCTACGAACTCTGAAATTCGTAGGAACAGGGAGATTCGTACGAACGAATCGTTCGTATGAACATTTGTGACCGTAGCATAAGCTATTCAAAGAATAATAAAAATGAATGAATATCAATGTCATTTAAGTAGAATTTATCCTACATACATAGACAATGTACATGTAATTCTGAAATGAGGCAAATCCTTTCTTTTATATATTTTCCTTTAAATAATCCTTTGATAGGATTAGAAAACTTATTGTCTCCAAGTAGATATGGATTCCGTTACTTGTTCATCCCATTTCTTCTGTTTAATTTTGTCCTCCTACATTCCCATAATAAAAGTACATTCCTAGCTTTATCAGTAGGCGCATTTATACTGTCAAATACCTCATTTTGAAAAGTCGCGATGTTTCGTGCACCCGGTTACACTTGTGCTGAAACATCACCGACGGAGCTGTTCAGCGATGTTTTGGCGTGTTTCGGTTGGTAATGCGCATGTGCAGTCTTCCCGACCTTTGACCCCGGCCTGCTATAAGATTTTTAGCGCGCGCAATTTCCAGCTAGCGCTATAGCTAGCTAAATAGCGATACATCCCATGCGCATGCATGCGATATGTTTTGTTTATCTCGCGTGTAGTATTTGAGGCAAGAGTGGATAAGTTACGAAGTACGGACTACGGCTGCTGATTCAGTTTTCCCAAATTCAATCGAAATCTAGTAGTAAAAACGATATGGGAAGGTTAAGAAAATCATCGTTGTTAATTGTTAATTTCATGCTTTCACTCATTTCTCTGAAGCCCTTTTCCCCACGTTTGCAGGGACGCTTGGAAGTCTGGTGGAGGAGCTCTCCCTGCCTCCACATCGAAATCAAGAACTTCATCTCATCATCAGTCCAATGGGAATTGTTCACTTCCATATTAATTAATCTAACAAAACACTCAAATACTACTACTAGACAGATATGGCCAGACGGGAATAACGAAGATTGAATAAAGGATGAGTTAACGGAATTGGAACAAACGGAGCTGAATGAACGGATAACACGCGCGACGATGGAAATGCTATAAATATCACACGGGAAGAACGTGGTTTAAAAGAGCGCGGGTAAAAACCCGGAAGTGCCGGAAGTCACGTGCCTAACATCGCGATGTTACAACTGCGAGCGGTTATACTTGCCAAACACGCCAAAACACGCCAAAACACGCCAAAAGATCACACTTCGTTTTGGAATGTTTGGGGCTTGGCATGTCTGCCGGTAAAGCGTAGTTGCCCTTGGTAACATCGCGGCCAGGCTCCGGTTTGGCATTTTTTGGCGTGTTTGGATGACAGTGTAACTGCCCCTAGTATTAGAACTTATCTTACTGAGGGCACTACAATCATATGATCACCCCTTCAGTAGCTGAGGAAATAATAATTGAAGATAAACAAGAAAAACTTGCAAAAAAATCCAATTACAAATGTCTCCAAACAATGTTCTATCATCTCATAAAAAGCACTGGGCATTCACCCTAAGTATTCTATTTCCAGAGTCAACTGCAGAAAGAAAAATTGAATTAAGCCAATTATGACCCCAATTTCAGAACCCCTCCTGGGCAGGGTTTGTTACCATGACAACTCGTTGGTCACTGGTCAGCAGGAGATGGGGCTTGCTGTCTGTTACATGGTCTTTCTCTTCTAATGTCTGCCAGAATGTTGTCTTGGTGAAAAAGTGTCCCATGTGAATGGCCAGTTGTATACATGTTCATTTGTAGATAATCATTTTTTTAAAACTCCTTTGGTATTACTTTTGCAAAATTATGTGCTCATTCAGTTATGAAGGGCTCTAAATGATATAAAGGAGAGCAGAATTAATGATTCTGCAGATACATGTGGAAGACTTTAATACATTGTAGATATTGGACCTAGAAATGGTAGGGTCTAGATAACCAGAGGCGGAAATCTTTTCTCCTCGTTCGGGTACAAATTTTTGATAGAACAAGTCGATGGACATGCAGATGGACAAGAATTTTGAAGACAGCATGCCAGGATTCATAATACAGGTCATGACCTCTACCACCAAAATATTCCATTCTCTCACGTTTTGATGTGTAGTTATCAGAATAAAAATGTTTTGGGCATTTTATCTGTAGCAAAGTGTAAGAAAGAGTGTTTGTGTCAAGAAAAATGGCCAGCTGAGTGATTTATTTTGTTTCTATTTCTTCTTTTTTCTTTTTTGTTGCCAATTTTGTTGATACACATGTCAAATGTGGCCTTTTTTAATGAATATTTAGTTCACAATATATTTTTTAATGCTTTAACAATTAACATAAACTTTATTAACAAGCAAGCCAGCAGGGTGTTAACTCAGCTGCTTTAACACAGAGTTAACGCCCTTCTGTCTGTCAATTTAGATCTCAACATAAATTACTTCTTTTTTTTCTTTTTTTGCATGGACTCCAGGCCCCATTTGGCCCTCAAAAATGACTTTTTAATTTCATGTTGATGTTCCAGCAAGTTTTATTTCAATACATATAAGAGTTAATTATTTGAGTATTCTCGTTCTAAATGTTAGTCATAGTGGCAGTCATCTATATGAAGATTTATCAATAATGTTACGGGCATTTAATCAATTGATCAATTACTGTTTAAAGATTAATCTCTTCCTGCTCTTAAAAATTTGACTCATTTTCACTAGGAAGAAAATCAAGCAGTTTTTTTCTTGATCATTGATTAATGACAGAGCTAATACATCTGTCTGATTTTAATCCTCGCTCATTTTTCACTGGTGTTTTGGTCCCTTTTTTTCTTATGCTGTCGGTCTGATGTACTTAAACAGCAGTATACTTCCAAGTATTGAGACAGTTTCTTGCTTCTATAAGCTGCTGTTATGAACAAATCATGAAATTTTCATGTCTTTTCCTCTCTTATGACATAATACCTTCTAAATGTCTTGATAGCTAGAAGGGCATTAGTTAGCTCATATCAGAGTTAATGTCCTTTTGACCCTTACCAGATGATATTTCATATCTTGTCTTTCATCATTTAATACCCCAGGGTATCTTGACACAAACCATGAGGGCACTATGTAAGGCTTGTTGATATCAACTGTTGAGAGCCAGAAGGTTGTTAACTCACTGTCAAAGTATGGGAGTTATATAACGCCCTTATTGCTCCGAATAGACGACATTGTCTGTTGAGAACCAGAAGGGCTTTAACTTTGTTGAATGATATGAGTAGATGCCCGTCTGGTTACAAACAGACTGTTGAATACCCTTCAAGATTCAAGATTTCAAATTTATTCATGTTTATATATATAGGGTATATGCTATTCTACTATCAACCTGTAAATAGTAAATGATATCATCGCTACCCCTTCTCATTTTGAAAGCACCCCTACCCTGGATTATCAATAGTCTAGAAGGATTAATGATGATACATTCTTAGACTACTCAAGCATGACAGTCAAATCCTCAGGATGAGCTCTTGTTTTCCTCACTATCCATCAGACGTGCCTTCTTGAAATCTCTTTACTATCATAACAACACCATAGTGATACTAGCTCAGTCACACTGCGAGACAGACTCTGAAAGGGTTTGATCTAGAGGAGTCAATCTTATGTTAGTTACATGTTGTGTGACTGGGGTTATGTCCTTCAAGATAAACTTTAGTTCTGGTATAATGCGATTGCATTGTGAAAGAAAAGGTGTGGAAAGGATCAAAAACAGTTGATCATGTAGCATGTAAGTATTGGTGTGCACTGCAAGGTTCTGGAGTCATCAAAATCATAATAAATTTGACCGAGTCTTGGTAAAGTAACAAGCACTGTACACAGAAAGCTATATATGGGACAACACACATGGTGTCGGGGCTAGTACTACCTTGATTTCCTTGTCTTTCTATGCTCATAACTCAGCCAGTATACATTTTCTTCCAAAATTGTTTGGCACATGTCATTTATTTGTAATCTTGAACATTCAGTGTAAGTTTCGTTTGATTCTGTGAGAATTCATTTTTTTTTTTTTTACCAGAACTGAAGTTTATCTTTAGTTTATTAGCTAGCTCAACTTCAGACATTGGGATCTATCTTTCTTCATAGACTGCTCAAAAATGATGGAATTTGTGTTTGAATATTTACAAGAATATTTCCTGATATTAACACAATTTTTTTTGTCCAAGCTTTCGTACATTTGCAAGATTTGCAATTCTGTTGTCAGCCCTTATTGGGTCTGTTCTGTAAAGTGGTGAATTGGAGCATTGTTTGAGTTTGTCCAAAATATCTGAAAATCGATTCAGACGAGACTAGTCCTGCTCCTATAACTATAAAGCGATGCCCTACTATGGGCTGATAATGTAATCTTGAGGATTTAATCTTTTAAAACATATTTATCATGGATACAGATCATTCCTTCTAAACCTTTCAATCTTTGTTTTCTTATCTTTCAGGATAATGATTAGTTCATCCGTTCTGTAACTGCACATACACCTCATTTCAATCTCTCTATTTTCCCACCCCAAGCTATATGACATGAGTAGTATCTTAATATAGCTGGTCTGAGTACTATTAGATCATCCC